AAAAAAAACAAAGTTCATAGATAAAATTGTGTTTTATCGGAGTGTCCTGTTCAGAATCGAAAAACGAATAATATCTTCGTATCGCATTAACAAATCGAATCTCGTATTCAGAACCAGAAAACGAACAGTATAGGTCTGATCTTGACATTTCACTTTGAATTTCATTGTGATTCAAAGTGGCAAATTTAATACGTACATCGAAAAACTAAAAACAAAAAATTTTCTGTAATAATCGTTGAATTCATACATTTCATTCTTATAAAATATTGAAACTATAAAAATGATACTTCTATTCATAAAAGCTTTAATTTAAGATTTATATCTCAGATAAATACTATAAACTCATTTCTTTTAGTCATGAGTTAGTTTATCTTTGTTTTTTATAGTGGAAGGAAAGAAATATAATTATGAAACCATATTGACTATATAAATCCACTTATACACAAAATCTTTGTTTCTATCTCAAGTTCTTTAGCTTAAACAATTAAGTTATTTTATTTTTATATCCTATTTGTACTATCAAGAGATACTTTATTCATAGCGAAAACTATTAGACTTGGCTTCTTACAGCTTTAAAATTTCGTCAATTTAAAAAAGAATATAATAGAATCATGTAAGCACATATATTATTATCCAATAGAATAAAATATATTCTACTAAGAATAATCACCGATCAAAGTTTGAGAAAAGATACATACACATGTATGTGCAATACCTTATCAGTCGGCTTTGTCAGTTACGCATTTACTATTTAACCTTTTGGTTTTTGGAGTTTTTTTAAACCAGCTTTAGACAAGCCTTGTCCTTAGTAAACTATGAATGGTTTGCCATAATAATTATTCACCTACCTTTTATGTAGTTGTTAAATTTGTTAATGAAGATCATGAATATACAGTAGATTAATGGGATGACAAATAATCAATAAATAACATAATAAAAAAGCAATACAACTGACACCTGATTACCATGAAGAATATTTATATAGATACATAATTTTATTAATTACTTTATTTATAATATTGCTTCACACACATCATATTACAATTACTATTAAAGACAAAAAGAAAGTAACTCGTTTACTATTTAGAAAAAGATTAATCGAAAGAGAGAATTATGACATGTGTATGAAAAAATCTGACACACATACATTGATTTACTATAAAGATTCTAAAATGATTACTATTTAAAAGAAAAACACACACAGCAATGGTATTCATTATTCATGTAAAATATTTTGTTTATAATATGTACAAATTGGTGGAAGTATATTTGTTTTAATAGCTCTATTTTGAAATAGATCATTCATTATTGTCGATTGTTTTGCTTTATCTTTTAATATATCTTCATCTGAATTATGCATTATGTCAAGTAAATTACTTGAATTTGAATTTTTATGAATTACTATACGAGGAAATAATTCATCAATAACAGATTGATTATTTCTTATAAAATCCAATTCAAAATTTTGATTTAATGTTTGTTGAATTTGTTCATTTACAAAACGATTAAGAATATTTGTTGATTGAACTAATGATGATATATAATAAGATGAATATAATTGTTCTTCGTCTTTCTCTTCTCGCGATTCAATATATTTGATTTTTGAACATAAATATTTCAGAAATGATAATCGAATCATTTCATATGTTTTTCGATTTCCTGAACATAATAATAATGCTTCATTATCAAATGTTGAATAATGATAATGAAGAATAAGAATACTTCGTTTATTCATTATTGTTGAATAGAAATGTGTAATAAGTTCTTGAGATGGTGTATTTATAATAAGAAATAAATAATTAATATGTGCATTGAGATTATTGAGAATAGTTGAATTTAATGTTTGTTTCATGGTTAAATCAAAATGATCAAAACAAATGAGATAAGAAATAGTGGATGTAGTTGGATGTTGATAATTTGTTAAATGATCAATATAGATGATGGAAGAATGAAAAAAGTTGGAAAGAGAATTAAAAATAAATGAAATAAATGATGAGTTGGCATAAGTTTTTGTTGTAAGAATAATAACTGTATGGATTTTTTCAAATGTATTTACTTGAGAATTTATAACATTGTTCTGTAATTGATGATAATTATTGGATAATTGTGGTGATGAGTTTAAATTTGTTTCAATTGATGGAATAGAAGTTTGTGTACAACATGGACAATAGTTTTGTAAAGAGAATTGTGTGTTGTAAGAACAATTCGATCCATATTGATGATAAGAATTTATTGGATATTCATTGTTTGTATACGGTATTGAATGACGAGAATCTAAATCTTGACTAATTCAACAAAACATAATGAAAAAAAGTGATTTACTTGTAGTAATAGGATTTGATGTAGAAATATATTTGTCATTATGATTAGAATTTTCATTAGCATCAGCTTGATGTATAGCATTTAGAAAATGATATTTTATTTGTGGATAAGTATCATAATGAATGAGTAAATTTTTTGACATATAATCTCGATATTGTTTATATGGTAAAATATCCATTGTCCAATTTGTTTGATTATATCCAAAAAATTGAACAACATATGACCATGATTGATATTGTAAATGATTTGGTATAGATGTTATTCTTCCAGGCCAATACATACCATCATAATTATGTCTTGCCCAAACAATTTCTCCAACACTAAATCCTTCAAAAAATAGAAATAATCGAATATTTAATAATAATAAACTAATTAGATATTTACCATCAGAATATATTGATGATGAATTACAACTCATTCTTATCCAATCGATAGACTACACCTTATAGTCAAATTTTAAGTGAAATGTATGTTCTTGTGTATTTCTATCTTCTTAAGAGAAATAGAAAAGT